GGGGGGGGGGGGGGGGGGGGGGGGCGAGGAAGGAAGAGAGCACTAGAGGAAAAGGAAATAAGAGAAAAGAGCAAATTGAAAAGAGAAAAGAAAGGGGAGGGGAGGAGGATAATGTGAAAAAGGACGTGCTGAAGTCCCCGGGACGTAACACCTCCATCCTTAAGAAGAGCGTAGCGCAGCGAAGCGGGTTGATGTGGTGGTGATGTGTGAGTTGTGTCGTCAAGGTGTAGCTGACCAGACACAATCCTTGAGTTTCTCCTCAATGTTAGCTAGCGAACGGTCGACGGATATTATTATCGGCCGAGCACGAACAGGCGTGTAGCACGCGTACAGCCTCCTGTGGAGCGGGTTGCTGTCATATTCTTTTAGAACGTCTGCTTGGCGGTCTCGTAGATTATTGTTTTAACGATCGCCGTCCTAGTTAAACGTTGGATGAAAATATCGTTCCTAGGAGGTGGATGGTTCAAGCGAAGGCTGATTATTCTGGCGTTAATGGTCCTGAATTATCCGGGTCCGCCGGATAGTTTTTTCATTATTGGATTGAACGTCTTCGTATTTTCGTATAAGTCGAGCGAGGGGTTCAATCGTCTCGATGGCAGGGTAGCTGCTGATTTCAATGTTGACCTCGTCCATCCAATATCCACGCTGTGCGCGGTAGACGGTACCCCACAAAAACATGCACGTTACACCCATGTGGAATCCACGTGATTTTGTGGATTCCACGTGGACTCTACGTGGATTCGACGTGAATTTGACGTACGTTTTTGTGGGGTAGTAGGTTACAGTCCACTGGTGTTCCAGATTTCCGGGTTATTAGAATCTTAGTTTAGGAGGTAGGAGTATGGATTAGTGAGGGATGGCAGTAGATAATTCGTGATGAGAGGATTTAAGGAGTCGCCTAACGACGTCGATGGGAATACATTGACTAATTCTTTTCCTTATTTATGAGATGAAGTTACATCATTAAAGGACAGTAAAGAAAATCATCATTAAAAGACGGTAAAAATCGAGAATAACATGATTCTATCGATGGGTTAGAATTGGAATATATTAAAGAAGTTATGTGTATATTTACATTATTTTTACATTGTCATATAGATATAAATACGTATATTTTATTGTAAAGTATATGTTTGGGGCACAGAGGTCCGGGATCGTTGGGGGCATATATATTAATATATATATATATATATATATATATATATATATATATATATATATATATATATATATA